AAAACCACACAACTCACTCCCCCCGTCCTCCGATTGCGTCAGACCAAACAAAGCCTGCTCTAAATAGGAGTAAATGAGAAGTGTAATTACTACTTCAGAGAATGGAAAGGTTTGTTTCTTTTAATTTTCCTGTTCGTTATTTTTTTTGTTTGTTTGTTTGTTTGTTTGTTTGTTTGTTTTCTCTGGTTCAGATAATCAGCTGTGATCTGAGTACTTATTAAGAAGAACCCCTTTTGTTACTCTCTTTTTGGTTAATAATGGTCCGCAATGGGACTCTTATTTCAATCAGACAGGGTTGAATGTGGAAAATTGTGAACGGAATTCTCCATGCACATATCTCATTCTCTTAATTGCGTTTTTTCTCTTAAATCTCCATAGAAACGTAACTAGAACCCTTGGTTACTTCAGTCTCCAGACTCAGATAGTACACTTTTTCTTTGTGTTTACATTTCACTGATATAACAAAACTGTTAATGTAGGAGTAAATAAAGTTATTATTGTTATTGTTACTGCTAACATTGCCGGAATCTCGTTTTTAGGGCACGCGTGATTAAAAAGGTTTTCTAACTCCTTGTCAGTTTTGAAAAAAAGTGGTAATGACCATAGAATACAGTATGAATATAACCTCTGTAAATATAGATTACTTCATAGAAAGTGCTTTGTACGGATTTTTATTCACGAGTTGCAAAACTTTGGAAAACGAACGAGTGAGCGCAGCGAACGAGTGAGTTTTCCAAAGTTTTGCAACTCGTGAATAAAAATCCGTACAAAGCACTTTCTATGTTGTAATTTGTTTATTGTATGTATAACGAGAATTAAACATATCCGTTAAATCAGTTTTAGTTTTCCCGATACCACAAGTTTACATGCAGAACAACAACAAATTCAAAACTGATCTAAATGACCAAGCGTAATAAAAAAACAAATCTGCTTTCCAGTCCAGCAGCAGGCGGACAAAGAGCCTACACAAGCTTAAATATAATACGGGAGAATTCGTAAATACATAGATTGAAATCTTTTCGCATGTCCCTAATCACTCTCAGATTTAATCATGTAATGGCGGCGCTTCGCGTGTGCAAAGACAAATTCGGACTCTGACTCACACTGTTTAAATTTGAATGTTCCTCCTTGAATGTTGTTGGCTTTCTAATGTTAAATTTACTTCCTCGGTTTCTTAAATGGCCATTGATTCTCAAACTGAAGTTCTAACGCTCAAGATGTTGGATATATTCCGCTGCTGTTTTTCCGAAAGTGAACTAAAACGGGAAGCCGAAGGCATGTTCTCGAAACATAAACTGATTTCGAAACATAAACTGATTTCAAGCCGGCGCTTCTCGGAAGCCATTTGAGTGCTTAACTCTGATTGGCTAAGTGATTCTACTCTGAACGGTGATTGGTTATATTTTCACATGGGAAGAACGCTATACGCGAAGCTGATTGTACGTATCGCTTTTTTCACATGTGGAAATATAGCACATATAGAATTCTATTTGCAAGGTTTATTGCGTAAAATTCTCGCTATATGTACAATAAATAATAATACGGGAAGTTGAACATTAAATCATTTACTTCCCTGATCTATTTTCTTGCAGTTCTTCAGAGATTCGTGATTTGCAACAAAAGAAACAGTCTTCATGGTGTCCACAATTGTATGAATAAAGACTGGGACGTGAGATGCAGATTTGCAAATGGGCGTCATGTCAAATGCCACATTCAGCTTTTACGGAGAAGATATGACTGTGGACCAGGCTGGATTCACGGCAACCTCCCGCCAGTTTGCTGTGACTTCACATGTCCCTAAACATTTTGTCATGGTTAAGTTTGCCGAAGATATTCCTATTTTAGACATTTCTTCTAGTCGTTGTAAATTAATACTGACTGCTTCACATTGTTCGGGTAACTGCTTTAACATAAGCCTTAAACCCTAAATTGTGCAAGTGAACAAGATTTCAACTATCTCGCGTCCTTGCGGCTAACCTGTCATAGATAAAAAAAAAA